AATGATCTTCTCGCATCCGTTCAATTGGTTTTCGGTGAGCTTGCTGAGTTGCTCTTTTATTCCTTGATCCAATGAGCCGATTCCAATGTCCAGTGTTGCGTTCTTTTTTGTCGATCCACAAAAATTGGTGAAGAACTTCAGGCAATCTTCCTTCGTGCCAGCATAGAACTCGAATTGGTTCACGGATTTTAGCTGATCTAGGAACATTACATTGTGGCGGTGGCCATAGAAACGGACGTCTAATTTATCGCATGAATTGATCCATTTGACGAAAGGACGAAGAGTTTCATTCAGTTGAAAGGACGGGGAATCGACGAACTTCTTGATCCAAATCGAGCTCGGTTTTATGCCAAACAGAGCGACGTGCTTTCCGAAAACGATCGATTGATCCATTGCATAGATCGAATAGAGCCTCTTGTTCACCATCATCAATTCCAGCACGTCTTTCACATCGAGATGGCGTGCGATCTCCTCAACTAGCATACCAGAGAGAAGATACCAGAGAGAGCTTCAAACGATTGCTTCGTTTGATCGTTAAGGACGTAATAGACGTAAACGACGACGACGTAGACGACGTAGACGACGACGACGACGTAGACGTAATAGAAAGCAGAAACAAACGATTCCTTCATTTTGACGGCATGTAGAAGGCCAAAAATTCACCATATCTGAATTCCTCCTTACACACGTAGATGCAAATCGTCCTTGGGTCGATTCGGCGGCGGAAACACAAATTGTTTTTGTCGAACGAATAAGGAGTGTAGTTTTCTCTGAGATCGTTTGCACGAGAAACGAGTGCTGAGTGATTTTCGCCTTCATCGACTCTTTGAAGTCCTTGCACCTTTGAAAGAAAATCACTGACCCGGGAATCCCTCGATTGCGTTACAACGTGAATCACAGCTTCAGAATACTTAGTTGGAATTCCTTGATGGACAATGCAGTCGACGATCGGATCCAATATCAGCGGATTGTAATCAGTCACTATTGCAATCCTTTTGATTTGGGTTGTCATTATGATCTCCCGGAAGATTTTGAAGCAATCCTCGAAGAAGCAATATAGCTTGATCTTCTCGCATCTGTTCAATCGGTTTTCGATGAATTTGCTGAGTTGTTCTTTTATTGCTTCATCCAATGAGTCGATTCCAATGTCCAATCTTGCGTTCTTTTTTGTCGATCCACAAAAATTGGTGAAGAACTTCAGGCAATCTTCCTTCTTGGCAGCATAGAAACGGAATTCTTTTACGAATTTTAACTGATCTAAGAACATTACATCGTTGCGTTCCTTGCCATTGAAACGGACGTCTAACTTGTCGCATGAATCGATCCGTTTGACGAAAGGAAGAAGATTTGCATTCAGTTGAAGGTACGGAGAATCGACGAACTTCTTGATCCAATTCAAGGTCTCTCCCAGGAGAACCACAGCGACGTGCTTTCCAAAAATGATCGATTGATCCATTGCATAGATCGAATAGAGCCTCTTGTTCACCATCATAAATTCCAGCACGTCTTTCACATCGAGATGGCATGCGATCGTCTTCAGCAGCTCCAATGGTAAATCAGCGATCGTTGCAACAGGCATTCTCGTATCTGAAAATAGAAAGCGTCATTGGAATTGATATTTGTATGATTTATTGAAGTCACTTTTGTCATCAAAACTACTTTTTTAGGTTAATATAGAGCAATAACCATTTTTCATTGCAAAAATCATATCAAACAACCCAATAAATTGTTTCTGATACTAAAAATGACTCCAATAAACCATAAAACCAATGAAAAATGTATAAAAAACGAATTAGAAGCGATCAAACGTAGATAAAGCTAAAGATAATCCAAAAAAAATCCTTCACAGCTTAAACTTTCATTGAATCCAAGAAATGAGAAAGTGAATTGAAGAAAATATGAATAAAATTAAAATCTGAAGATTCAAAAAGATTGAGTGCGTTCCAGAAATGATTTTCGATTTGCTGAAATTCACATCTGCTTTTTGGTTTGGCGGGGAAAACTGGGGGAACAGATTTGAGTGAATTGAATCGAAACGTCAATTTGGTGAACAAACTTGATCAATCCCTTCTGTGCACTCCATAATTGCCTAATTATTAGCAAAACTGGTCGAATTGAATCAATCTTTGGGAAAATCGACGCGTAAGGTATATTTTTAGATTCAGACTGCAAAAGTGATGAATTAAACCGATGATAGAAGCAAAATTCGGCTTAAAATGGCGGTGTTTTTTCTTCACCAATCAATTTAGGCAATGAAAATTGAAAATTTTATTTTTAATTCCAGTTAAGGACTCAAAAATATGCGGCATTGACGCAATCAGACGAGAATTTTTTTTATGCTTTAACGATTGCGATTGCGCTTTAACGTTTAACAGTTTGCGATTAGCGATTGACGATTAACGATTGCGAATCCAAAAGGTCCAAAAGATCCAAAAGTTGTCATCAAGTTCCACAACAAACTCGAGTTGCATTGGAGAGGATCGACCTGGATGAACGATGCCTCCATTGGTGTCTAACTTCAGAAGGTCCTCGGAGCTGTGTTTCTCGGAGAGCGGCTGCTGGTGTGGAATCCGTTTTCGGCTCACAAAAGTGGGACGACGAAGAAGAAACTCAAGGAGCTTCAGATTGATTCAATTCTTAATTCTTGTGGCCAGTGGATGCACTAAATCCATTCAAGCTCCCGATGTTGTTCGGAATCGTTTAAGGCCAAAATTTGGTCATTTTACGAGCATTGGAAGGCGAATGGACTAAAACCAGTGATTCGACTGGAAACCCGGCTCCTCCATCAATGGAAACATATGTCGATTGGGTTTTGACGGCTTGTACAGTCATTCTTTTAAAACTTGTGCAATTACGACGGCTTTGCTTGGATCGGAAGATGCCCTCCTGCGCTATTTGAAGGAAAATGGTCCAATTCAAGAAGAAGCAAAACAATTGGTCGTGACTTGTCTTGAACAAGGCGTCAATGAAGTGAGTGATCGTTTTGGAAACATTGTTTCGGATGTTTCGAATGTTTGAGTCTTTAATCTATTGGGTTGGTGAATTGAAAACTGCGGGCCTTTGAACTAAAATTTATTCAACATAAAACCATCAATTCATTCGAAATAATTTCCATTATTATTGACGACTTCTGCCCATTTTAAAGGCAATTTGCGGATTCCTTTTTCGTAGTAGGATTTTGGTTTGTGTGTGCGACAGGTGTGAGACTCAAAAATGGAGGACTGGAGATGTCCCAGTTTGAGCACTTTCTTCAAAGAAATCCATTTTGATGTCAATAGAAAAGTTGTAGAGAATCAAAAATTAGGCTTATAGCCAAATTTCCAAAAAGATACACTTAATAGTTTCGCTTAAAATGCAAGTTTTGTGAAAATTCGTAAATTTCGCATTTCCTTGAAAACCAGTTTTTGAATTGTTCTGAAAATTTGGATATAAGCTTGATTTTTGATTCTCTACAACTTTTCCATTGACACCAAAATGGGTTTCTTTTGAAGAAAGTGCTCAAACTGTCACATATGACAATAGCCGGCAGTTTTCAATTCACCAACCCAATAAATTAATAATAATAATCAAAAAAGTAATTAAACAAATTGGGTCTAATTTCATTTTACTTTAAATCAATTTAAAGGAATTCTCTCTTGAAATAATAAAGGTCTGACGACAGATGCCTTTCGGAGCGTCCACCGTACACTTTGCCTTTCAGACGTTTCCGCGCCAAACGTCGGAAACTACCGTAACCCGACGCAATAAAACGACCCCGCCACAAAGAATTTTTCAGTCTTTCGTCGTATTTTGTTTTTCCATGTTTTTTTTTTTTTTTTTTCCATTGACACTAAAATGGGTTTCTTTTAAAGAAAGTGCTCAAACTGTGACATATGACAATAGCTGGCAGTTTTCAACTCACCAACCCAATAGAGATTAGCCTTGATTTGAGGAGAAGTCAATGTCCAATTTGAGAATTCGAAGCCGGCCAGATTAGTTTGGTAAAGGCAGAGGGAAGCGGCTTATTTTTTAAACCAGTTTGAAACCAGTTTTTGAATCGTTCTGAAAATTTGGATATAAGCTTGATTTTTGATTCTCTACAACTTTTCCATTGACACCAAAATGGGTTTCTTTTAAATAAAGTGCTCAAACTGTCAAATATGACAATAGCCCGCAGTTTTCAATTCACCAACCCAACATAATTGTTATCTGCTTTTTTGTTGGTCGAAAAAATAGTGTTTACACCTCAAATCGTATTGCGATCTTAGCCGTCACCAAAGAGCAGCACTGCGCAGTGCTAAAAGAGTAAATACCGGAGTCGATTATGGATCACAGGGATCGTGAATTTCCACAATCAATCAATTAATCAATTTTAGACGAATCAATCAATAAATCAATCGAATTTTAGACGAAATTTCGATTTTTCGAGTGTTCAAACAATTTTCTTTAACGTTTAACCTTTCCTTTTTTCTTTTTCAACTCTTTTTCAACTTTTTCAACATCGAAGAGCACTGAAATCACAAATTTTTTGCTTTACAGTATCCCTGCTTTTGGTACATAAGTACATACAAATTTTTGAGTTTTCAGGTACAAAAATTTCTGTCTTAAAAGCTACTACCTAAAAAAAAAGGATGCAATTATCAAAAAAACAAAAAAAATCACTTACCGATTCGAAATTTCTATTTTGGACGCGAAAAGATCTTGTGATTCGGTTTTATTTTCTTTTAAATCCCCGAAAATTGCGTGGGTAAATGAGAAAAATGAGGGTTTTGTGCGTTTTCGATACGAGAATTACCGTGCTCGGGCGAAACTTTGAAAATCTCCGATCAGAAACCGAAGAAAGCTGAAAAAAGCCGAAAAGAAAGGGGTAATCAAAGAATTTTTTTCTTGCAAAGAATGTAATTATCAAGAAAAAAAACCGGAAATTTTGTCTTTTTAATAAAAATTTTTATTTCTACATCAAAGCAACCTTTAAAGAGCTCATTTTTCGGATTTTACGAAATTCCCAAAAGTCTTGAACTATGTTTTTCACAATAGTTTGGTCTGACTCTTATAAAAAGACACTATTTTATAAATTTGGAGAACTTTTGTCGGCCATCATCTTGGCGATTATTTTGCAAGGTTGGTTGTGAATTTAGTGTCGATTTGGGGCACTGGGTACTGTAACTAGAGCACTGTTTAGTGCCACGAGTGACTCAATCGATCAAGCAATCAATCAAAAAGATCAAAAGGATCAAAAAGATCGAAAGTCATTGAGAAAATCCCCAATTTTCAGCGCTTTCTCATTTCCTCGGTGTCTGGAATAACGGTATTCCGTTGAATGAAACATTGCCGGACATGACCGAGGAGTTCTACCAAGGAGCAATTCGAATTCTCTTCAGCTCGATCAATGTGGTAAGCGTGGAACGTGGAAATTTCTCGTTTAGACCTTCCCATTTCTCTTTTAGACGCAAGCGTTGGCTCTCTTGATAACCCCGTTCGCCATTTGGGGGCCACTTCGAAATAATCGACTCACCCTACCGATACGGTTGGTTTCTTGGCTATTTGTGGTCAAAGCTGATCAAACTGGGTCAAGATTTGGCTAGTTTCATCAATTGAAAGATCTAGTTAGGACCTTGGCTTGAATTTTATCGATTTTAGCCACTATTCTAACCGAGCCTTAGAGTCTGTAAGTCAGGCCAGGCCAGGCAAAGCCAGAAGTCAGCTTCAGCCCTGGTTTCTGGTGAGTCTGGTGATTTTTCAGGCATCACTGAATCTAGAACAGATTGCAGAAAGCCTGGGTTTGCCTAGCTAAAGTGCTAGATTTTCTTGATAAAACTGGGCTCAAACCCAACTAGAATCATGAGATTCGGTTTGAGAAAAACCCAACTAAAGCCTGTAAGTCAGGTCAGGGTAGGGAAGGCCAGAGTAGGGAAGGCCAGGTCAGACAAAGCCAGGTCAGGCAAAGCCAGATCAGGCAAATCCAGGTCAGGCAAAGCCAGCCAGGTCCTAAGCCAGAAGTCAGCTTCAACCCTGTTTTTTGGTGGATCTTTTCTTTTTACAAGGCTAAAACTTCTAGACTCCAAGCCATAAATCAAAGTGCGGCACGGGCTTTGATGGTTGTTCTTGAACTATCCGTCGACGTCTGCAAACTCCTCAACTATTACTTCCCGCAGAAGAAAAAGAAACAAATGTTGTATGTAAAGAAAGAAAAGCAAGAGATTCAATTTTTTTCAGGTGCCCTAATCACTTTTGGCAATCGATTGAGGAAGTGAGCAAGTGGATTGGACCATTGCATGCACTGGCGCAATTCAGTCAACTCATGATCTCGATTAGGTGGGGGATTTTGATTTCTGAAATCACTAAAGATTAGTGTGAGCTCCAATTTGGCTAGATGAAAGGTATAAGGTAGGAAAATTTGTCTGAGTAACTTGCAATAATGCCAGCTACATACTCCACAAGCCGTCTGTGGGTTTTGAGGCAAAATTTTCCAATGTAGAGGTTCGGCAGTTCTCTTCAAGATTAGATCTTCGTTCTAAAGTGTGCCCAATGCTCTGGATTTCAAATGGGCATTTCAATAACTGTACTATCTTGATTACGGTGGCTACAGGAGCCGAGTTACATTTTATGAATCTTAATAAAAATCGTTTACAGCCGCTTTTTCGCCGTTTCATTTGAGGGTCGATACTTCGAGACAGCTCTCCGATTACCGTATCTCCAACTCTTGATCCCTTATCTCTATTGTTATACCTATTACTATCTCGATCTTTTATTCAACGAGGAACAACTCCAACCTTGGGCTTTCTTAAAAGAGCAAGCTGATTATTTTCCATATTTCTTGCAGCTCAGCTTTGATTACATGGTCTATCGAAAAATGAAAATGGTTTGTTTCTAAGCATTGCTATTAGGTTCAAGAAAAAGTAATGTCAATTTTTGTCACAAAACTGTTTATTGCTAAAAACATAAACAAAAGCACATCAATCAATGAGATATTCTCCATTATTATTCATGATTTGTTCCCATCTTTGTCCCTGATCCAATCCTCAAAAACATGGGGAGTTTTCGAGCCAAAATAAGTGTCGATTGCTTTTTTTGATCTGTGCATGATTCTCGAACTTTTCTCCCATAAGAAAACTCTTTAACAACCGAAACAAAAAGTGATCTGATGGGCCCGGGTGGGCCCTATGACCAAGCTTGTCGATTTTTCGGGTCCAACCAAGCTCGTCGATTTTTCCCTCGCTCAGGTCCAACCAAGCTCCTCGAGTTTTTGGTGAGGTTTTGCATTATCATGCAAAAATAACACTTTTGATGTTTCAACGCCCAATTTCTTTAAAGCCTCGTTAACTCTCATCAATTGTTTTGAAATAAAGATCAGCGGTGACAGTTTCTCCCGGATTCAACAACTCATAATACACCAAACCTTTTCTATTCGACCAACAGCAAAGCAGAAGTTTCTTTCCATGAATATCGGGTTTTGAAGTTAACGAGCTTGGTTGGACCTGAGCGATGGAGTTGGTTGTGGGGGTTGACCTAGGGAAAGTCACTGATTTTTGCGCTTCACATTCTCATATTGAATCCATGTTTCATCAGATGTTAGAATTCTTCCCCAAAAATCATGAGATTTGTCTTTTTGAAGCAGAGTAGAGCTAACGATAAGCTAAAGATAAGCTAACGTGCTGTTGCCTTGAGTCAGTTCATGAGGAACCCATCTTCCGCATTGAATTCTTTTTCCTAATTGATGTAAGTGGTTGTCGATTGTATTTTGGTCCATCCCAAATCTGCCCGCTAACTCACGAATGGTAAGGGTTGGATTGAGTTCAATGGCATCAAGCAAATCCTCATCTGAAATCTCTTGGGGTCGTCCAGACTGTTCCTCGTCTTCGAGACTTTCATTTCCGCCTTTGAACCGCTGAAACCATCTTTGGCATTGTCTTTCGTTAATGCTGTCTTCCCCAACAACTTCAATGATTGTCCGATGCTATTCAGCCGAAAAAAATCGCATAAGCAAAGAACTGGAAAATTGCTAACAACGGGAATTCAAAACCGACATTACTTTTTCCTCAACCTAATAATTGAAGAAAATCTTTTAGGTGAAGCACGCTGGAAAGAAAGTCTCACGAGCTGAGGCATTGCTTTTGATTCAGGTTGGATAATTGAATCGATTTGTTTCTTTTGCCTTTATTAGAAAGTTAAAAGAGCTAAATTAGGCTTTTCCACTTCCGAGAATGCAAATTGGGTAGCTAAACCAGAATCCAAACCTATTTGGACAATGACTTGGTTGGCAAAACAATTCCTTGATGGGTAAATGGCTGGCTAAACCATTCCGTGATGAGTAAATAGCTGGGTAAACAATTCCTTGATGGGTAAATGGCTGGCTAAACAATTCCGTGATCGGTAAATGGTTGGCTAGGTTGTGGAGGGAAGGAAAAAAACCGGAGGGGTAGTGAAAAAAACTTTATGGGGTAAAGGGAAAAATCGTGAGGGTAAAAAAAAACAATTCCATGATGGGTAAATGGCTGGCAAAACAATTTCGTAAATGAATCACACTTTCGTCAATCCTCTAATTAGGAATTGTGGTTTTTGAAGTTTTTTCTATTATCTTGAATGCTAGAATGCAAAAATTCAAATCATTTTTTTGTTTAAACAATGAAATTCGTTTTTGCAGATGGTGGCTAACTCAATTTGCGTGATTATCTCCTGGTATGTTCAAACGTTTCTCCAAGCCATCGTTTCGCTTTATTTCGGCCCTACCACTTATTGGTTTATAACGAATTTTGGTGCCACACTGCACATGATCATGTTCGAATTTGGCATTATGTAAGTGTTTTTGAGTATGAGCAAATGTCAAATGTTTCACATTTACTCGAAAAACAGAACATTGGTAATAAGATTTAACGGGTGGGTGGCCAGGTACAGAGCCGGGAATTCATTTTTCGGAACTCTGTCGAACTTTCTTTGGTCTTGCAAAGTTGGAAAGGGCAAAAACGTGTCAAAAACGTGTCAAAAACCTTTCCAAAAAACGCTTCAAACCCTAGATATTACCTTGATTTGAGTTTGCTTTGTTTATATATCATATCATATCATACAAACTGCATCCTATTGTTAGAATGTGATGTGAGATATCCTCGGTGTAGCTTGTAACAATTTCAGCTCGGTCTTAAGAACAGGGTTTAGCAAAAATAGTCAGGTCAAGCTATTGGCTTTAGCTTTTTTTTCTAAACCTTGATTAAGAACGACTTAAACAATCGCCTTGGTTAAGAACGACTTAAACAATCCAGCTGTGATATATCCAGCTTGTGTAGCCCAGAGCTGGTGTACCCGAGCTTACCTTCTTACCTTCAAAAATCCGACACAAACCACAATCCGACTTTTGTGTTATCTGAGGGGTAATTTCAATGGAAAAATAGACGTTTTACGGTTACAGAAAACGCGCTTTTTGACATTAGAATTCATATTAGTTCCATAAAATGCAAAAAAAATGAAATTCAATCTATAAGAACCTGAAATAAAAACAATTTGTCCCACTTCACATCAAAATGAAATTCAAAATGAAATTGAAAACCACACTTTCATTGACCATTCGCCCAATATCATATTTCCGCTTTGCGAAGAGTGATTTGTTGATCTCAACAGTACACCCGGGGCCCTCAATTGCATAAGTTTGAGTCTTTGAGACTTTCATTTCCATCTTTGAACCGCTGAAACCATCTTTGGCATTGTCTTTCGCTAATGCTGTCTTCCCCAAAAACTTCAATGATTGTCCGATGCGATTCAGTTCACAGAGCTCCAAGCATACACTTGACGCAAGTGAAAGTTCCAATCAACGATGGTTTTTGAAGACATCTCCAATTCTTCCTCAGGAAATTTGTTTGTCGTTCGGTTCACAGAGCTCTAGGCAAACCCTTTTCGTCCAACAGAATGGCACGTTGAATCCCGAATGGCACGTTTGCCCACAGATGAATGAACTTGAGAATTGTGACGAATTTGAGCCTTGAATCCTTGAACCAATTGTTCACCCGAATAGCAAGAATGGAGCCTGGAAGTCCCATGTAGACATATTGATTTATTGCATATTGCATCTCAACGATATTGATCTGATTCTCGAGATTGGAGATTCGATCAACCTCTCTGACAATTCGACACTCGAATCAATCCATTGTTGACAAAGTAGACGATTGAATCCTTCTCTAAAAAGGCGCTCATTTCCGAGAATTTAATTTTGAAGTGAAGTAGGACAAATTGTTTTCATCTCAAGCTTTTATAGATTGAATTTCATTTTTTTTGCTTTTTATTGAGTTAATATGAATTCTAATGTCAAAAAGCGCGTTTTTTGTAATAAAACGTTTATTTTACCATTGACATTTCTCTCCTCCAGCTAAATTATTTCTCTAAGACCCAGGTAACACAAAAGTACCTAAATTGGATCGAAAACAACTAGTCTTATCGAAAGAAATTCATAAGGAAAGCTTATATTCATATGGAAAGCTTTGCCGGGGCTCAATCTTTGAGCATAAGACAAAAGAATGCTTTTGAGAGGTTGAAAAAGGTGAGAAACAGAGTACTTGAGTACACTTGAGTACACTTGAGTACACTTGAGTACATTTGAGTACACTTGAGTACTCTGCCAGTATTTACTCATTCTAAAAGCTTCTTTTGATGATTAATGTTTCATTTTAGTCTCATCGATGCAATCTTTCTGCAAGGGAAAAGAGAGAAAAGCAAGAAGAAAAAGAATCACAAAGCGTTTTTACTGTTTCCAATACTGTGTCCACAAAAGTTTCCAATTTCTCGAAAACCTCGAAAATTTCAAGAAAATGAGACAATTTTTCCACTTGTACATCCTAGAAAATAAAGATTTTGTTTGCCAAAACTACCTGAACACTACACTGCACTCCAAATGACATCTCGTCTTTATGCGTCAATGACAGTTGTTGATGTTAGCCGAAAGGGCATGAGAACTTGTGAAACAAATACAAACAAACAAAATCGGGGAAATGAGATGAGATGATCGATTTTTAAAGGATTACAAATCAAATTGTTTTATTTCTCTAATCGTTTCTTCATTTCCGCTTTGAAATGTCTCGATCTTCAGCTAGAATGCCTCGAGAAGAGCCGGTTGGTTGAAAAGTTGATATTAAATTGTTTTTCGGTATTTAACTTCTGTTTTTCCACTGATTTCTGTTAAAATAAGCTATCGTAGAAAGCTATTGTTGATCTTAGAATGCTATTCTTGATCATAGAACGCTATTGTTGTTCATAGAAAGCTATTCTTGATCGTAGAAAGCTTTTCTTGATCATAGAATGCTTTTCTTGATCATAGAATGCTATCCTTGATCGTAGAATGCTATTCTTGATCGTAGAAAGCTAATCTTTAGAAATAAAAGCCCGTACAATGGCACAATCAAAAAGAAAATGCTAAAGTTGAACATTTTGTTGACAAAGGATGGTTAACAGACCCATCTCACCAAATGAAATCAGCTATTAGATGCAGAATTCTACGGTGATTCCGAATTCCTCATCCTTTTTTGATTCTGAATTGCGCGCAATTTGGAAAACAAGTTTTAGTCTTTCTAAAGGCTAACCAAGCATTACCGCAACACACAAAAGGCCTGGCTTTTAACCAAATTAACCATTAACCAAAGCAACCCATCTCGAAAATTTAACTTAAACATCTTTATTCAATATATAACAGTAACAAATTAACAATTAAATTCAAATTTGCCTCCATCGGCATTCAGAAAGGCCTGCAAACGTTTGGGAATGAGTCCACCATCTTGTTGATAAGTCCAATTTCGATTTTTGAAGTGGCGCTGAGCCCACGGAATAACCTCCTTCTTTAGCAAGTCCAAATAATTGACCGCATTTACTTTCACACCTTGAAGAACAAAGATCAACCGGGTCGTTCCATTGGCGGTTATCTCGGCAATGGGCAATGAGCAATGGGCAATGAGCAATGAGCAATGGGCAATGGGCAATGGGAAATGGGCAATGGCAAAACCATCACCGATGCAGGATCAGAACTGCCCGATACGGTGACGTTTGGCTGAGATTTTGCCCAAACTCGATCATTTCGCTTGTTGAGAATTTCCTCGACGGTAAATATCTTTTCATCGGTGAACAGGATGTTGTGGTGATCGTGATCAGACAGGCAAACGTTTGGGAAACGATCGTGGCGAGCAAATAGGCATTATCCCATGCTTTGATGAGCGCTTTTCTACAAACTTTCGATAATTTATGTGATTTTGCACATGCTCTGGCTTCAAGAACACTCCAGGCTGAGTAGTCTTTTTAGTCTTTCTTTATCAGACGTTAAGGGCGCAATAGGTGAGTGGAGCTACTCCGTATCCCCACGGATACGGAGTAGCTCTCTCAAGGGTTTGAATCTCTCTTTTTTTCTTTGTTTTCTTTTTGTAAACACTTTTTATGGTGTCTCTCATAGCTTCAAGATGCCAAAATTCCCAAAAATTGTGCGCAATTCAGAAACATTTTGCAAATCAGCTTAAAATTCTGCGTCAAATAGTCGATGGCTCATTTCATTTAGTGAGCTGGGTGAGCTGTTTCCATTTAGTGAGCTGGGTGAGCTGTTTCCATGTAGTGAGCTGGGTGAGCTGTTTCCATTTAGTGAGCTGTTTCCAATCCCTTTTTGAGTAAAGAGAGATCGAAATTCCTTTCTTGAGCTGAAATTTTCAGGATCTCACCGCACCTGAACAAGTTTTGGCATCGATTTTTCGGAGCTACGGTGACTACATCAATTCACTTCTTGAAGGAGCGGCTGTGGTTGGGAAATCGTTATGCGATTTCTTTGGTAAGTGAGCTAAATTGCTTTCTTATAAAGCTTATTTACGCAAATGCTACCGTAGTCCAATATCAAGAGTACGGCTAGCTAGTTCAACTATCTTTCTTTCTAAAGAGCTCCTAAAAGCTCCTAAAAAAGCAATCTTAAAAAACCAGCCGTTTCTCGCAAGAAGAACCGAGTACTATAGCCATTGCAGCTTCTAAAAAGCGCTCTTACAACTAGTAAAAGCTATCGTAATCTTTTCAGCAATACGGAAGCTATTTTAGTATTATAGAAAGCATTGCTCTACGAAAAACTTCTCTAAAAATCTCGAACTACAGAGTGTTCAGTATTTCAGTCTCACTTTGTTCAGTACGGCGACTTCTTTTTGGTAGATTAGCTCCAGGTTCAACTCTAATATGTTGAGTGCTATATAAAATGTTGAAGCCCTTAATCTTGGCTACATTTTTCAAATTAAAAGTTTCCCGATTGAAGATAGACAACTCATTTTCTAAGCCATTGAACTATTGGTGGAAAAGTCCTTTCGGATTTTTTGGGAGAGTACCTTAAATTTGTCCAATTTTGACGTCCAATTTGTCCAATTTTATAGCTCATCCTAAAGCTGAATTCAAGACGGATCGATTGATAAAAACCGTTTTGAGATATCTCTTTTCTAAAAGTTTTTACAGCTATTTTAGTAAAGGGCGGCAGAGCAAAAAAAAAAATGGCTGTTTTCACGTTTCGTTAGTTTTCCGTGCAGAAATCTAGGCTAAAAACATGTGTTTCGTGATCAGCGTCCAAAATAACCCCTAGACACAAATTTTCAGAATCATAGCAAAAAATTTTTGAAAAATATTGTCACTGGTGGAAGTCGAACCAGCGACCCTCAGATCAATAGCCTTTCCGCCGCTTTTCGCGATTTTTCTTCGTTTTTTCGCTTTTTTTTTGTTTTACCCTAAAATTTACCATAATTTACCCTAAAATTTATCATAAAAAAGAGAAAACAAACAAAAACAAAAAAAACAGCCATTTTTTCGCTCTGCCGCCCTTTACTAAAATAGCTGTAAAAACTTTTAGAAAAGAGATATCTCAAAACGGTTTTTACCAATCGATCCGTCTTGAATTCAGCTATAGGATGAGCTATAAAATGTCAAAATTGGACAAATTTAAGGTACTTTCCCAAAAAATCCGAAAGAACTTTTCCACCAACCCAATAGTCTGAGCCCTCTCTGTTCCCTCTCTGTTCCCATTCTTCCTAACAAAATTCTTCAATCACAAAGAGTTTCTTTCGGCTAAATTTGTGACATTTTGTCATTTCCAATCATTCCAAAATCATTTCCAACAAATTTATAGCAATTAAACAATGAGAACATCTGAAATGAACATCAAAAAATCCTCAATTTTCACTTCTTTCCTTTCACCACCAAAAGAACTTGACTTCAACTCGAATTTGAGTAAGTTTCGTTCATTCAAATTCGTTAAAACACACTTCTTACTGTTATTAAATGATGTTAAATAAGACTTTAACATAAAATTAATATCGAAAAACACTTTCCGAGAATTTATTATATTGAAAATTGCGAAAAATGTCAGCGTGCCGGAGAGGGATCAACTATTAGATTCAAGAGCTTGTAGAATTTTTTGTTTTTAATGTAATAAAAAAAAAAAAAAAAAAAAAAAAAAAAAAAAAAAAAAAAAAAAAAAAAAAAAAAAAAAAATTTTTTATTAGGGGGGTGGTGGGGGGGGGGGGGGAAAAAAAGAGAAAAAAAAAAAAAGGGTTTTTATTTTAAAAACCAAAAAAAAAGAAGGGGAAAAAACGGGGGAAAAGGGGAAAAAAAAACAGAGGGGAAAGGGGGGAAACTTAAAAAAAAATAAAAGCCCCTCGGGGGGGGGGGGGGAAAAAAAAAAAAAAGGGGGGAAAAACCCCACCCCTAAATTTTAGAGGGAAAATTTTAAAAAAAAAAAAAAGGGCCCCTTTGGGGTTTTTTTGTTTTTTATCTAAAGAATGAGTTGTCTATCTCCAATCGAGAAACTTTTAATAGAAAAATGTAGCCAAGATTAAGGGCTTCAACATTTTAAATAATATTTAACACATTATGGTTGAGCTTGGCACTTGGGAGCTCACTTGGAAGCTTGGGAGCTCACTTAGAAGCTTGGGAGCTCACTTAGAAGCTTGGGAGCTCACTTGGAAGCTTGGGAGCTCACTTAGAAGCTTGGGAGCTCACTTAGAAGCTAGGGAGCTCACTTGAAAGCTTGGGAGCTCACTTAGAAGTTAGGGAGCTCACTTGAAAGCTTGGGAGCTCACTTAGAAGCTAGGGAGCTCACTTGAAAGCTTGGGAGCTCACTTAGAAGCTAGGGAGCTCACTTGGAAGCTTGGGAGCTCATCTACTCAAAGAAATCGTCGTAAATAATGACCACCCAGTAGTTTGGGGTTCTTAGGTAAGTTTTGTGTATAGCATGGCGCTAAAATAACTACCGTATTGCTCATGAGGGGATTACAATGTATACAATCCCTGATCCCTGATCTTCCAGGACTGCCCTGTGACTCGATCTGTTCGGCCTTCTCCACCGTCTTCTCCATCCTCCTCGCCATCCTCAACTTCCTCTTCCAGCTGATCTCCGGGTGTGTCTCTCTCCTCCTTTTCCCCTTCAAATTGCTCATCTCCTTCATTTCCTCCTTCCCAATCCTTTCGCTTATCCTCATTCTCCTCATTTTCAGCCTTGGCTACCTTGTTCGACGTCTCACTCGATCGGATCCCCTTCAATTTCTCCTCTATTCAGCGATTCCCTGGATTGGTGCCTTTATTTACTCAATATTGTCATTTTTCATCCCACAATTAGATTTATTCAAAAAAATCTTTTATTTCCTCTTTCATCCAATACAATTCTTTCTTGACCTCTTTGCGAAAGTTGATCAAAGAGCTGAACGAGTTCGAGATATTGTTGGTGTCATTGGACCAAGAAATACCCGTCCTGCATCAAGATTACTTTGTTATAAGTGTCAGAGACGGGAAAAGACTTGTCTACTCACACCTTGTAATCACTTTTGTATGTGTGAACCGTGTTACAATGAAATGATCGATCCCAGGACTCCAATGAAACCCCAGTGCCCACAGTGTCAAGCCCCAGTAAACTCGTTTATAAGAATTGATTTGTGATTTGGTTTTTAGCCAGTTTTCTCTCTTTTGCACTCCAGAATTCAAGATTTTTCAAGAATATTTGAGAATTTCGTGAACAATTCCCGTTTTTAGCAAATGATCTTATTTTAATACTTTCTTTTCTTTGTTTTCTATGTGATTCCTTTTGCAAGTGGCTCAATGAAACTTTCAAAAGACTTCAAAAGAACACAATAACAAAACAATCAAACAAAACTAAGAGCATGACCTTTTTTCAATGAATTTCCGGTTTCACGGTCGGATTTGGCCGTTCTCCTCTCCATTGTTCTCCTCGTTCTCGTTCTCCATTCCCCTTTTCAATAGTATTATCGAAATGGATCCACTTTTCATCTCCAGTAACAAGAGAATCAAAAAGCCATAATCTTTAGCGTGGCGAATGAGGATTTCAGCCTTGTTTGCACTGCCCGTAAAGCCCGTGAAGCCTTGCTTACACTGCTTAACTCGTGGGGAAGCCATTTCCCGCATCTGATCGTCTTTCCAATGGCGAGGAGATGCTCATCAATAGTAGAATTTGAACATAAAAATAGTTGAGCAAGTTCACGCGTTGTTTGACATGGATTCTGTATTCTGTATGTACTTATCTTCTGTATGTACTTATCTTCTGTATGTACTTACCTTCTGTATGTACTTAATTTCTGTATGTACTTATCTTCTGTATGTACTTAGCTTCTGTATGTACTTAACTACTGTATGTACTTATCTTCTCAATGTGCTTATCTTCTCAATGTACTTAATTTCTGTATGTACTTAACTTCCATATGTACTTATCTTCTGTATGTACTTACCTTCTGTATGTACTTAATTTCTGTATGTACTTATCTTCTGTATGTACTTATCTTCTCAATGTACTTAATTTCTGTATGTACTTAGCTTCTGTATGTACTTATCTTCTGTATGTACTTATCTTCTGTATGTACTTAATTTCTGTATGTACTTATCTTCTGTATGTACTTATCTTCTGTATGTACTTATCTTCTGTATGTACTTATCTTCTGTATGTACTTATCTTCTGTATGTACTTATCTTCTCAATGTACTTAATTTCTGTATGTACTTAGCTTCTGTATGTACTTATCTTCTGTATGTACTTATCTTCTGTATGTACTTAATTTCTGTATGTACTTATCTTCTGTATGTACTTATCTTCTGTATGTACTTATCTTCTGTATGTACTTATCTTCTGTATGTACTTTATCTTCTGTATGTACTTATCTTCTGTATGTACTTATCTTCTGTATGTACTTATCTTCTGTATGTACTTTTATCTTCTGTATGTACTTATCTTCTGTATGTACTTATCTTCTGTATGTACTTATCTTCTGTATGTACTTATCTTCTGTATGTACTTATCTTCTGTATGTACTTATCTTCTGTATGTACTTATCTTCTGTATGTACTTATCTTCTGTATGTACTTATCTTCTGTATGTACTTATCTTCTGTATGTACTTATCTTCTGTATGTACTTATCTTCTGTATGTACTTATCTTCTGTATGTACTTATCTTCTGTATGTACTTATCTTCTGTATGTACTTATCTTCTGTATGTACTTATCTTCTGTATGTACTTATCTTCTGTATGTACTTATCTTCTGTATGTACTTATCTTCTGTATGTACTTATCTTCTGTATGTACTTATCTTCTGTATGTACTTACCAAAAGCAGGGATACTGTATTGCTAAACAAAAACAAGTGAAAAAAAGCGAAAATTAATGATTTCAGTCCTCTTCAATGTTGAAAATTGATTAAAAAGTTGAGGCTAAACGTTAAAGGAAATCGTTTTGACACTCGAAAACACGAAATTTCGTCTAAAATTCGCTTGATTGATTGATCAAATTCACTGAAATTGATTGATGAAACACTGTCATCCATAATCGACTCCGGTATTTACCATATTTTCTCTAATAGTAGTGCACCCCGGCGAGCCGAGTTGGTGACTATTTTACGGTTTCCAAGCTTTTGCAAAAGCTCAACACTCAAATCCCTCACTAGATCTCATCTTCAGCCACATTTTCCGATCCCACATCGATAGGTTCTGATAAGCGTTTTTCGAGATTTCGAGCAATTTAGACGACGATCAGGGTGCACTACTATTAGAGAAAATACGGTACTCTATTAGCACTGCGCAGTGCTGTTATTTCGTGACGGCTAAGATCGCAGTAGGCTTAGAGGTGTAAACACTAGCTTTTCGACTAACAAAAAAGCAGATAACAATTATAGATTAAAGGCTGAAACATCCGAAACATCGAAACAATGTTTCCAAAACGATCACTCACTTCATTGACGCCTTGTTCAAGTCGAGTTACGACCAATTGTTTTGCTTCTTCTTGAATTGGACCATTTTCCTTCAAATAATGAATGAGGGCATCTTCCGATCCATTCAAAACTGTCGTAATTACACATGTTTTGAAAGAATGACTGTCCAAGCTGTCTAAAACCAATCGACATATGCATCCATTGATGGAGGAGCCGGGTTTCCATGTCGAATCACTGGTTTTAGTCCATTCGCCTTCCAATGCTCGTAAAATGACCAAATTTTGGCCTTAAACGATTCCGAACAACATCGGGAGCTTGAATGGTTTTAGTGCATCCACTGGGCACAAGAATTAAGGATTGAATCGATCTTCAGATCGATTCAATCCTTGAGTTTCTTCTTCGTCGTCCCACTTTTGTGAGCCGAAAACGGATTCCACACCAGCAGCCGCTCTCCGAGAAACACAGCTCCGAGGACCTTCTGAAGTTAGACACCAATGGAGGCATCGTTCATCCAGGTCGATCCTCTCCAATGCAACTCGAGTTTGTTGTGGAACTTGATGACAACTTTTGGATCTTTTGGACCTTTTGGATCCGCAATCGCTAAACTGTTAAACGTTAAAGCGCAATCGCAATCGTTAAAGCATCAAAAAAAATTCTAGTCTCATTGCGTAAATACAGTATATTTTTGAGTGCTTAACTGGAATTGAGAATAAAATTTTCAATTTTCATTGCCTAAATTCATTTGTGAAGAAAAAACGCCACCATTTTAACCCGAACTTTGCTTCTATCATCGGCTTAATTCATCACTTTTGCAGTCAGAATCCAAAAATATGCCTTACGCGTCGATTTCCCCAAAGATTGATTCAATTCGACCAATTTTGCTAATAATTAGGCAATTATGGAGTGCACAGAAGGGATTGATCAAGTTTGTTCACCAAATTGACGTTTCGATTCAATTCACTCAAATCTGTTCCCCCATTTTTCCCCGCCAATCCAAAAAGCAGATTTGATTTTTAGCAAATCGGAAATCATTTCTGGAACGCACTCAATCTTTTTGAATCTTCAGATTTAATTACATTCATATTTTCTTCAATTCACTCTCTCATTTCTTGGATTCAATGAAAGTTTAAGATGTGAAGGGTTTTTTTTGGATTAACTTTAGCTTTATCTACGTTTGATCGCTTCTAAATCGTTTTTCATACATTTTTCATTGGTTTTATGGTTTATTGGAGTCATTTTTAGTATCAGAAACAATTTATTGGGTTGTTTGAAATGATTTTTACAATGAAAAATGGTTATTGCTCTAGATTAACCTAAAAAAGTAGTTTTGATGACAAAAGTGACTTCAGTAAATCATACAAATGTCAATTCTAATGACGTTTTCTATTTTCAGATACGAGAATGCCTGTTGCAACGATCGCTGATTTGCCGTTGGAGCTGGTTGAGAAGATCGCACGTCATCTCGATGCGAAAGACGTGCTGAAATTGATGATGGTGAACAAGAGGCTCTATTCGATCTGTGCAATGGATCAATCGATCGTTTTCGGAAAGCACATCGCTGTGGTTCTCCTGGGAGAGACCTTCAATTGGATCAAGAAGTTCGTCGATTCTCCGTACGTTCAACTGAATGAAACTCTTCGTCGTTTCGTCAAATGGATTGATTCATGTGACAAGTTAGACGTCCGTTTCAATGGCAAGAAACGCAACGATGTAATGTTCTTAGATCGGTTAAAGTTCGTAAAAGAATTCCGTTTCTATGCTGCCAAGAAGGAAGATTGCCTGAAGTTCTTCACCAATTTTTGTGGATCGGCAAAAAAGAACGCAAGATTGGACATTGGAATCGACTCATTGGATGAAGCAATAAAAGAACAACTCAGCAAATTCACCGAAAACCGATTGAACGGATGCGAGAAGATCAAGCTATATTGCTTCTTCGAGGATTGCTTCGAAATCTTCCAGGAGATCATAATGAAAACCCAAATCAAAAGGATTGCAATAGTGACTGATTACAATCCGCAGATATTGGATCCGATCGTCGACTGCATTGTCAATCAAGGAATTCCAACTAAGTATTCTGAAGCTGTGATTCACGTTTAAAAGTGGAGATCGAATGTGATTGATTCCCGGGTCAGTGATTTTCTTTCAAAGGTGCAAGGACTTCAAAGAGTCGATGAAGGCGAAAATCACTCAGCACTCGTTTCTCGTGCAAACGATCTCAGAGAAAACTACACTCCTTATTCGTTCGACAAAAACAATTTGTGTTTCCGCCGCCGAATCGACCCAACGACGATTTGCATCTACGTGTGTAAGGAGGAATTCAGATATAGTGAATTTTTGGCCTTCTACATGCCGTCAAAATGAAGGAATCGTTTGTTTCTGCTTTCTATTACGTCTACGTCGTCGTCGTCTACCTCGTCTACGTCTATTACGTCCTTAACGACCAAACGAAGTAATCGTTTGGAACAAAGTTTGAAGCTCTCTCTGGTATCTTCTCGCTTCTCGCTTTTCGTAAAAGTCCAAATTATTTATAAACGAATTAGATCGTTTCAAATCAAAGCCATTTCAAATCTACCCTTCAAATCTATCTATTTAAATCTTTTTGAATGTTTGAATATGAATATAATTCTTAGAGATAGAATTATATTTATGCTTTATTCAAGATATGAAATAAAGCGTACAAATTTGCTCTTTCTTGTGTTTAAAATAAGTTTACTGTGTGTCATT